TCTGGGAGTTGAAGTCCACTCATCTTAAAGTGGCCAAGTTTGGACAACACTGATCTACATCCACGGAAATGGGTAAGCAACTAGGACCCAGTCCAACCCTTATATGTTATAGGTATGTTTGAGCAGTACACCATATATGATCAAAGGCTAGAGGGATAAATGAGAAAGTATCCACTCCAAACCTTGACATGTTGATTGGATCATTTACAGGAAACTGCATAAGGCATACAGGTTATGTATGGGCGTAATGTGTACAAAGTAGTACATACATGATTCTGCCAATACATGGAAAAATGGTGTCAATAGTGCAATATACAGTAATTCTCCTTTCCCCAAGTTCCTTGTACACAACTTACATTGTCTGGTTTTATACTGAAAACAGGAGTTCATACTGATGTCCTTGGCAGCACGAAAGTGCCCTGTGATTAATCTAGGGACAGCAGAAACCAATGATGGTATAAAATTGTGCTAGTATTTTTTCTTGGATGTTCCTTTTACTGATTTGCTTTTTTGCACATCCTCCAGTAGCTTTAAGGCAGCTAATTCCTATGAAAGGTTTACTCCACACTCTTTTTATCACTGCTTGCAGCATCACTCTCTTTAAGTCCCCCATTGGGGGGAGATGGGCAGGGACAAATTTAATAAATAAAATAAAAAACCATTTACTTACTCTAGCTGTGTTTGCATTTTAATACATTGAGTCCCAGTGTGTCATGCCTGAGAAGAAAAATTAAATCATCTGCCTTGCTTTAGGTCTATATCTGCTCCCTTTAAATGTTTTTCCTACTAACCACTATGTATATATTTTTAAAATTGTAAAATGAATTTGCTGTGCCTGTAAAACTCATGCAGGCTCAGAGAAAGCCTTCTGCTTCGTTTCCTCTGACTCTTGTCAATTTCTGGGTCAACAGTTCATTTTCTAAAGGCCATCAGCATTCAGATTTATTCCTCATCCTGAAAGGTGGCTTTGCTTCTAAGGCAACATTGTTGCAGGATTACATTTCATTAGATGGTCAGCTATAAATTTTAATGATATATAAAAAGTTGTAAATGTAGCTATGGAGGGAAATAGGTGGGCAATCAAGAGATTAGTGTGGCATGACATAAAGCACAAGAATAACAGTTTACAATTACTTACATAAAATATTCTCACAACTACCAAAAAAAAAAAAATCAACATTTTGTGATTTACAACCTATGCAAATTATGTACATGTTTTGCAAATTATGCAGTGTAGTTCAAAAAAGGTTTATTCATGATTACCGCTAGGTTTACTTGCTAGTGTAGCCTTCCATAATCTGGGACCCTTTTTATGTATTAGCTAGGTTTATGTGCTGCTTCAATTGTGTGATAAGACTACAGATTCCACAATGTGAGGTCAACTAAATACTTGCTAGGTATTGTGGGAGAAAGTCCCAACACATTTAGAGGGTGCCAAATTTGTGAAGTCTACCCCAGTTATTGAATGGAGGTTTTCAGCTCAGTCAGTGTTGTCCAAACTTGGCCACTTTAAGAGGAGTGGACTTCAACTCCCAGAATTCCCCAGCCAGCATGGCT